ATTGTTTTTTTTTTTTTTTGAATTTTTTTTTCTTGATGAGTCTTGTTTCAAATAAAGTTTACTAATCCTTTTAAAGAGCCAGTTCTTGGTTTTGTTAATCTTGATTTTTGTGGTTGATGTTATTCTCTATCTTGTTTTCTATCCTGTATTTTTTCCATTAAATTTTGGTGGGGAACAGAGGTTGCTGTGCTTTTTTCTACCCTCTTGAATTAAATGCTTGCACGTTTTAAAAAGTTTTTATCTCCTGACTAGCATATTTAAAGTTATATTTTCCTCCAACTACTCCTACTTCATGTGCACAATTTTGATTTTCCTGCTTTTATTATCACTTAATTATCAGTTCTAAATTATTTCATTTTCTTTCTGATTTCCGTTTTTACCCAAAGATAATCTAGAAAGAAGTTTGTTAGTTTCCAAACACACTGAAGTTTTTCTATCCTTTTATTTTTTAATTTTATACATTGTGGTCAGAAAAGTCTTCATATGATTTAATCCTTTTGAATTTGAGGCTTCCTTTAAGGGCTAATATATGGTCTATTTTTTTAATGTTAGAGGTATGCTTGAAAAAAATGTGTATTTTCAGCTTGTTGGGTTTGAAATTTTATATATGTATGTACATATAAAGCCATATGTTTGTGATAGCTATATCTTCTTCTGTTATTACTTTTACCAGTATGTAACACCTTTTTTAAAATCTCGTTTCTTTCTTAAAATCCTGCCTTGTCAGAATTATAAGATTGGCACTTCTGCTTCCTTTTGGTTTCCATTTGCTTAGTGAATCTTTTTTGGGGGTGAGGTGGGGGAATAATGGTGGTTGGCAGGTATGGGGATTTGAACCCTTGACCTTGCTGTTATCAGCACAATAGATGTAAATTGGTTGATTTGTGGGAGAGAGTGACGCTGGTGACCATCTATTCCGCCATCTTGACCGGAAGCTGGAATAAAGTTTTATGTAAGTGTTTACTGTTATATCATTGTGATGATTGCTCTTAGGACTCATGTGTGTGTTATTTCCCTCTGTTGATTTCTGAAACATCAATATTTGTATCTTTTCTCAACAAGACAAATATTTTACCTCCTTTCACCTTCCTTTGTTCTCTGTCCCCTCCCCCCACCATTCAGCATATTGGTATTATATAGATTCTAGGTTTATGGTCCGAGTTTTTATACTTTCTCTTTCTCTCCTCTTTTACTCCCGCCACCCCCTTTTTAATTGTACATTAGACTTTACCAAACTATTTGATTATCTTCAATTTCCACACCTCTTTCAGCATCTCCTATACTTCTTATTTCTCTAGTTGGTTACTTCCTGCAAGTGTTTTTCATGTGGATCTTCACTTGATAAATATTCTGGCTTTGTATGCCTGAGAATATTTATTACACCTTCAGATTTGAATGATGGTATGCCTAGCAATAATAGGTTCAAAATTCTTTTCTTTCAGTATTTTAAAAACATGTTGCTCTTGTCTCTAGTACAGCTATTGAAAAGTTTGATGCAAATCAAAAATGTTCTTGTTCCTTTTTAGGTGATCTGCCTTCTTTCTGGAAGCTTTTATAATTTCTCCCCTTGTCTTTGCTATTCAAAATTTTATTGTCTATATGTGGTTTTTCCTTCTTTTCTACTTGGCTTTATCTAAGCCCTTTAAAGACCTCATACTTTACCTTTCTTTGATTTGGGGGTATTTATCTCCATTATTTCTTGAAGTATTTTCTGTTCTCCTTTCTCATATTTCTCTTCCTTGGCTCATTATTACCCGGATTCTGGCACTCCTACTCATATCCTCCACAACACTTAACTTTTCTTTTACACTTTCAATCTCACTTTGTGTTGCCTTCTGGAAGAACTCATCAATCTTATCTTCAAATGTACTAATTTATTATATACTACTACTACTATCCTGTTTTTTCTAGTTTTTTCTTTCCACTACTACCCGTTTCACACCTAACATTTCCATTTGGTGCTTTTTTGTTATGTTTTATTCTTATTTGGTACTGCTTCTACCTTCCTTTGAGGAGGAATTGAGTCCCATGGGTTCCAGGAATAACAAACAGGCCAAGGTACTTAAAGTAATTAGAGGAAAGGACAGTGAGAAACAAAGTCAGAAAGGTGATCAGGGGCCAGATTACAAAGGGCCTTATAGGCAATAAATCTTTGAATTTTATTCTGTGTTAGAAAACCATTATAGTATTTGGAGCAGTGTAGCAATTTGATCTAGTCTACATTTAAGAAGTCTTCTTACAGACGGGGGAAGGAGGGAGCCAGGAAAACCATTTAGGAGGCATTCCAGTAGTCCTGGAGGAAGACGGCTTAGACTTAGGCAGTAGTGGAACAGAAAGTGAGATGTAGTCAGACTACAGATATATGTTAAGGGTACAACTGATAGGATTTGGTAATGAGTTCGACGTGGGGTATGAGACAAGAAAGAGACTAGGATAACTCCAAGGTTTTGGGCCTGAGCAAAAGCAAGAATGGTGGTACAATTTATTTAGAGACTTAGGATGTCTTTGACATATTTAAGTAGAGATATTGAGGAGGTACTTAGATATATATGTCTAAAGATCAGAAAAAAGGCAGGAGCTGAAGAGATAAAATTTGAATTTAGCAAGGGAGTAAATATATATGAACTGAGGCCATAGGATACTCTCATATTTACGTTATTTTAAAGATATTTCACAACGATGTAAATATACTTAACACTTCTGAACTGTACACTAAGAAATGGTTAACATGGCAAATTTTTATGTTTTTTACCACAATTAAAAACAAATAAAAAACTATCATGTGGAAAAGAAAAAAGGAAGTGTTGGAGAATACAGTAAAAGAAACAAAAAAAAACAGGGTAAGAAAATCAGGATGGTTTGGTGTTGGGAAAGTAAAATGAATAAAATGTTTTTAAATGATGAAAAAATCGGTGTGTAAATGCTGCTGAGAGATGGAGTGAATGGAAAATTGACAATGATCCACTGGATTTGACAACATGGGAGTTGTTGGTGTCCTGACAAGAGTGGTTTCATCGGAGTAATGTGAATTAAAACATAATTGGGGTAGTTCAAGAAAGAAAGGTGGGTGTTGGGGGAGATGAAGTTAGTATAGATACTCTTTTCAAGGAATTTTTGCTAAAAAGCATGCAAAAAATGGAACGGTAGGGCCTGGGAGTCTTAAAATCCAAGATTAAAAATGGAAGGTATGTGTGTAAGTGGGAGCAAGGCAACAGAGCAAAAATGACTCAGGAATGTGGGGTTAATTGCAGGAGTCTTTTGAGTAATAGAAGGGATGGATACTGGTCACTAGACGGAATGGCTAGAGGGTGGGGAGGGTTCATGTTATAACAGCAGGGAAGGAAACTATATGGACACAGATATGTGTTAATAGATTTGGAGAGTGAAAGTTCTTTTCCTGTTTCCTTTTCTCAGTGAAAAAAGAAACATTGCTGACAGAGAGGGAGGACACAAGTCTGAGTAAAGTAGAGAAGGTATGAAATACTTGTTGGGGAGAGATTGTGAATTGACCAGGAAAATGTTTAAGGATTGCCACACAATGCTGTGGGCCCTTGATTTTCAGGGCCATAAATTTAAAGTGAGAAGAGGAGTCAGCATGGTTGTATTTTTCTCCAGCCACGTTCAGCTGCTTAGGAACAGATGCACAGTAGCTGGAGTAGTTGGATATAAACAAGATTCAAGTTTTCAGTTAACGGGACAAGAGAATTTAGGGCATGTGCAAAGACAATGATGTCTATGCTAGATAAAGAAGAGAGAGTGATGAAATTATAGGTAAAGGATAAGTGATAGAATCAATTGTCTAGAGACCTCAGTAGAGTCAAAGAATTATGGGAAAGGTATAATAAATAAAATAACCTAGAAAGAAGGCTGTTTAGAATGCTACAAATTGAGATTTTGAAGGTAATGACAAGATCTAGAGCAGTGTAACTATAGGCTGAGTCCCATTAGTGGGTCATAAAATCAATCTGGTGGGTTAGTTTCCTAAATTAGTATTGTTAGCCATGCCTGCATATTAGAATCATCTAGAAAAACTAAAAAAAAAAAAAAAAAAAAAAAAAAAACA